CGTCATCCTAAACCATACAAATTGTCTTGGCTGAATAAAGGCAGTGAGGTAACAGTAGAAAAATGGTGCTTAGTGTCTTTTTCGATTGGAAAAAAATATTTTGATAATACTTGGTGTGATGTGGTATCCATGGACGCGTGTCATGTTTTGTTGGGATGACCTTGATAGTATGATCGCGGCGTTATCCATGATGGGCGGAAGAATACTTATTCTCTTAGCATCAAAGGGAAGAAAATTGTTCTAGCGCCTCGCAGGGAAGAAAACATCCCTGCCCCAGTAGTTAATAACACCAATCTACTTTCTATGTCCAGGTTCTTGTTTGAGGTTGGGCGTGAAAAAATAGTTTATGCTTCAATGCCTCATGAAAATAGTGCAGCGAATGTGGATTCGGAATTACCAACAGAAGTGCATCAACTACTGATGGAGTTTTCTAACTTGATGTTGGAGGATCTTCCTCCAAGATTACCACCTATGAGGGACATTGAGCAACATATCGACCTTATTCCGGGGTCGAGTCTACTAAACCGACCAGCATATCGCCTTAGTCCCAAGGAAGCTGAAGAGTTGCAGCAACAGGTGGTAGAATTATTGAAAAAGGGCTACATTCATGAGAGTATGAGTCCTTGTGCAGTTCCAAATCTACTAATGTCCAAGAAAGATGGGTCATGGCGTATGTGTGTTGACGGCATGGCAATTAACAGGATCACACTGAAGTACAGCTTTCCAATTCTCCGCCTGGACGACATGTTGGATTAATTGTCCAATTCTAAGGTCTTCTCAAAAATTGACCTTAAAAGTGGATACTACCAGATCAGAATTAGGCCTGGAAATGAGTGGAAGACCGCGTTCAAGACACAACATGGATTGTACGAGTGGATGGTCATGCCCTTTGGACTATCCAACGTACCCAACACTTTTATGAGGTTTATGTATTCGGTTTTACGGCCTTTCATGGGAAAGTTTGTGGTAGTCAATTTTGACGACATACTTATTTATAGTTCGACATGGGAGTCACATTTTAATCATCTTCATGTTGTCTTTGATGTAATGAAGACGGAGCGCTTATTCATCAATCAGATTAAGAGTTCTTTCTTCACAACTTCTGTAACTTTTTTGAGTTTTGTTGTGTCTACTGATGGTGTTCATGCAAATCAATCCAAAATTGAGGCAGTTTTGAATTGGCACAAGCCAAAAACTTTGCACGATATCAGGAGTTTCCATGGATTGGCATCCTTCTATCGTCGGTTCATCAAAAACTTCAGTACCTTGATTGCTCCTATCACAGAGTGCCTTAAAGGGCGTGATTTACAGTGGACCAAAGAGGTAGAGGCTAGCTTTCAGTTGGTTAAGTAGAAGATGACGGAGGCCCTAGTCTTGGCACTTTCGGACTTTGAGAAGGTGTTTGAGGTAAACTGTGACGCGTCTGGAGTTGGTATTGGTGGTGTTCTGAGTTAGGAGGGGCGTCAAGTAGCCTTTTTCAGTGAGAAGCTATCGGGATCAAAGAAAAATTATTCCACTTATGACCTGGAGTTCTATGCCATAGTTTAGACTCTGAAGCATTGGCGTCATTACCTGGTACAAATGTAGTTCATCCTTGTTACTGATCATGAGGCCTTAAAGTACATCAATGGTCAGCACAAGCTGAGTAGGCGACATGTAAAGTGGGTGGCGTAATTGCAAGAGTTTACTTTCATACCAAGGCATCAAGCAGGGAGTTTGAATCGAGTAGAAAATGCATTGAGCCATCACACATTACTCCTCACTACCATGAGCACCAAGATTGTCGAATTTGAGGCATTTTCTAATATGTATGCTGCAGATCCTTCATTTGGGAAGATAATGTAAACACACAATCTCTCTGAAATAAAGATGAGCAATTCGAGTAGCATCCATCGTCTTTCGGCAAGCCACAAAATGAGCCTAAAACAAAGACAACGAGGTGTGTTCTCGTCGTCCCTCTGATGCTTAAGTCAGACAGGGAATTTATATGAGAACGTATACTAAAATTGTATGTAAAAGCGTACCTGAATAATGGACTTAGGTCATGTATTTATAGAGATAGATAGTGTACTCCTAGTAGGATTGAATTAGTTGGATGTTTTTATTCAATAGATTCCTACTTGAGAAGAGTATTTTATTTGTAATATAATTGCATGATCAATGATACTATTGTTATAATAGAATTCTTGTGGATGTAGGAGTCCTTGGTTGAGGTGTTTGAATTATATTGGAGTTCGTAGAAGGTAAGACTTATTATGGGCTTAACAAAAGGAAGGTTCGGTATGAAGGGAATAGATCAAGGACTCATGAACCCCGTATATCAAAAAGGATGCTCGAGGACACGACCGACCAAATCACGATGATGCAAGTTGCCACTCCTCGGGTGTATTACCCCTAGGACTATGTCACCCCGAGGACTATATACCCCAATATGTGATGAGTAAGACCCTGTGAGTCCTTGGGAAAATCACCTCGGGAGGTTGCCAAAAGTGACTACATCACTGGCCCCCTACATATATGTCAGAGGCTTGAGCGATATGCACGTTTTTGCGATGAGATGCACAAGCATGTCAGATGATAGGTATGCTCATGCCAAGAGATATGCGAGTTCATGCCAAGATAAGGGCGTGCTCATGCCTAGAGGTTGGCAAGCTCATGCCAAGGAATAGGTGTGCCAAAGCCTAGAGGTCAAGGAGCTCATGCCAAGGAGTGGTCATGCTCATGCCTAGAGATTGTCAAGCTCATGACAAGTTGATAAGCACTCTTGATCCCTACTTTATTAAAAATTTAAAGAGAACGGGCTCAACCCCAACATTGTTAAAATTTTAAAAGAAAAATATGCATAGACCTTGTTTAAAAATTTTAAAGGAAAGAGCTCGATCTCGAGCTCATTAAAAAATTTTGAGAGGTCTAGACCCTAACCTCGTGAAAAATTTTGAAAGAGGAGAGCTTGACCTCAAACATGTTTTAAGGTAAGGGATGGATCCCTACTTTGTTTAAATTTTGAAAAGAAGGGCTCGTGCTGAAGCTTTGTTAAAATTTTGAAAAGAATGAGCTTGAAGAATAGACAATTGTTCATATAGGAGACATAGCCCGAACTTAATGTGCGATAATTATCTAGAGCCCTTGTGGCTGGGATTTGAAAATGCATTGAGCTCGAGGACAGACCCCGAGCCCAATGTGAAATAATATCCTGAGCCCTTGTAGTTGGGATTTTGACAATGAATTGAGCTGAGGACATAGCCCGAAGCCATTTTAAAAATAATATCCCGAGCCCTTATGGCTGGGATTTGGAAATGAATTGAGCTCAAGGACATAGCTCGAGCCTCATTTAAAATATTATCCCGAGCCTTGTTGCTGGGATTTGAAAATGCATTGAGCTCAAGGACAGACCCCCGAGCCCAATTTGAAATAATATCCCGAACCCTTATGGCTGGGATTTTGACAATGAATTGAGCTCGAGGACATAGCCCGAACTCATTTTAAAAATAATATACCGAGCCCTTATGGCTGGGATTTAGAAATGAATTGAGCTCAAGGACATAACCTGAGCCTCATTTAAAATATTATCCCGAGCCTTGTGATTGGGATTTGAAAATGCATTGAGCTCGAGGACAGACCCCCGAGCCAAATTTAAAATAATATGTCGAGCCCTTGTGGCTGGAAATTGAAAATGCATTAAGCTCGAGGACAGTCCCCCTGAGCCCAATGTGAAATAATATCCCGAGCCCTTGTGGCAGAGATTTTGACAATGAATTGAGCTCAAAAACATAGCCGAGCCTAATTTAAAAATAATATCCCGAGCCCTTGTGGCTGGATTTGACAATGAAGTGAGCTCGAGGACATAGCCCGAGTCCAATTTAAAAATATTATCCTGAGCCTTGTGGCTGGGATTTTGACAATGAATTGAGCTCAAAAACATAGTTGAACCCAATTTAAAAATAATATCATGAGCCCTTATGGCTGGGATTTGATAATGTATTGAGCTCGAGGACATGCCCGAGCCTAACGTGAAATAATATCCCGAGCCGTATTTCCATGGACTTGAGAATAGGTTGAGTCTCACAAGCTCGAGATAAACCGTGGTCGGGTTTTTTACTTGATGCATTGCGGGACTTGGATGTGCTTACCCATGGCAAGGCTTAGAGTACCTACGTGGAAGAAGGCTTGAAGTACTTGCTTGGGGCAAGGCTTTAAGTGCTTGCATAGAACAAGGCTTTGGTGTCTGCTCATGACAGGGCTTTGATGCTTGCGCGTGACAGGGATTTTTTGGTACCTACTCGTGGCAGGTATTTTGATGATGCCTGCTCGTGACAGGTCTTTTTTGGTGTCTATTCGTGGCAGGTCTTCTTTCGTGTCTACTCGTGGCAGGTCTTTTGATGGTGCCTGTGCGTGACAGGGCTTTTGATGCTTGCACGGGAAAAGGCTTTGGTGCCTGCTCATGACAGGTCTTTTTTGGTGCCTGCTCGTGACAGGTCTTTTTCAACGTATTCCTTCTAGAAGAAAACATGTGTTGTGTGGTCCCAACTCTCTTTATATAAACTTTCCTACCTTTTAGAGACAAAATAAACTCGTAGGCCTTGTCAAAATAACTATCTAAGTAAATAAGAAAATGTAAAGGGCGTACTCGCCTGAATAAAGGTAAAGTAGCTAAAAAAGCATAGGGCATGCAAACCCAAGTAAACTAAACTAAATAAGCCAAAATGGAAACAAAAAAAAAATCCTAGGCCACCATCAATCTTCGCTATGCTTGACCCCGACCTCTATCAGTTCTTCATCTGGGACAAATTTTTCCTGGTTCTCGAGCTCGAGCTCAGGGTCAATACTTGCATGACATCAGTGCTTATTCCCCGAACACAAGTAATATAGTACTGCCTTGCTGCTTTCTAATCATCACGTACGATCCCTATACCGTCACTTATTGGAAACTTCATAACAAGATGGAAGGTGGATACAATGGTCCTAATTTTATTGAGCACTGGTCTCCCGATGATGGTATTTTAGGCCATTGGAGCATGGAATACATGGAAGGGAGTGACTTCTGTCACCTGTTTTTGCCATGAGCCTAATGTTAGGGGAAGATCAACAATTCCCTCTGGGATGATTGTTCCACCCTCGAATCCCTGGAGCGATGTTTTGACTGCCTTGAATTGGTTAACAGAAATACTCATCTTCATGAAGACCTCTTGGGACAGCACATTAGCTGCACTTCCATTGTCAACCAAGACCCTCCTTACTTTAAAGTTGGTGATGATGGCAGATATGACCAAGGCATCATCATAGGGGTATGATATGTCTTTTGAGTCCTCCGATCCAAATGTGATATCTTTCATGTCGTTGGGAGTTGTCATTTGTATGGAACTGTGTTGTCGGGCATATTGTTTGTACCTACTATTTGAATCTTCTCCAGAGGAAATCCCCTCGATTATAATGTTGATGGTACTTGCTGTTGGCTAGCTACCTTCCCCAAATTCTGTGGTCTTCCCATTGTTACGATCATTCATGGGACACTTGTCATGCCTGATATACTCCTTTAGGGATCCTCTTTCTATCAAAGCTTCAATCTCACGTTGTAATGTTATGTAATCCCCTGTAGTATGCCCATGGTCACGGTGGTAGTCACAGTACTTGTTCTTGTCCCTGGTCTCAGAGGGAGACCTCAACCTCGGTGGCCACTTGAACTCTTTCATATCTTTGATTTCCATCAATATGTTTGACCTAGAGGTGTTTAGATGTGTAAGTGTTGGTGGTATGCCGTGCTTCTGCTTTCCTCTGGCAAGGTCTTACTCTAGATTCATCTCACGCTGCCTCTGATGCTCGGCCCCATCATAAGCCAGACCAACTCTCCTTGGATTTAATGTTTCTTCCATATTAATGTATTTCTCTCCTCGGGTCAGAAGCTCGATCACTGATTTTGGGGGAGTTTTGACAAACTCATTTTGAACACCTTACATCTTATAGCATGTGTGAGGGTGAAAACTGCTGCTATGATATGGAGATCAGGGATCTGAAGTCTTTCTTTATTAAATCTCTTCATGAAGTCACATAGGGTTTCATTCTGCTCTTGACGAAGTTGCATGAGGGAAGCCACTATCTTTCTGATACGCTTACTAATGGCAAAGAAGGCTGAGAACTTATCGGCCAGATCTGAGAAAGAGGCTATAAAATTGGGCTCTAAGGTTGAGAACCAGTCCCTGGCTGTGTGGGTCAACGTTTGAGGAAAACCTTTGCACATCACCTGGTCTGGGAAAACTTGCAAGTTCATGACATCGATATAGATATTGAGATAGTTGATAGGGTCGGTAGTTCCATCATATTTTTTTATACGAGGGTACTTGAATCTGTCCGATAGGGGAAATGATAATACCTCAGGAGTGAAAGGGGTGTTAGGGATAAAGCCTGTTGCACCCTTAGCCTTCTGCATTAGGCCGATCGTGACTCCCTCTTGAATGATCTTGGTGAGTTCACTAGACTCTATCGTCACTTTTCTCGAGGTCAAGGCCATCTGGGATACACCCGAGGTTCCAGCCCCACCCTCGTCAGGAATGGGTTGTGGGGCCCGAGCTCGAGCATCCGTTACAAAACCACCTTCAGTCGTCGATGTATGTGATGGGCGAGAATTTCTCTGGCTCAATAACTGAGTTAATGTAGCAACTTGTTGGCGAAGCTCTTCGAAAGCTTCAGTGGTAACAAAGGCTGGTTGAGGCTCTGGCATCTCTGATGATTCTTCTTGAGGGACATGATGACCTTCAGGAGGAGGATCTGGAATGGATGAGCTTGCTGGATGAAGACCTGAACGTGTGTTCACCATGACTTTTGGTAGCATTTCCCACAAACGACGCCAATGATGCTATCAAAAATCATACCTAGTAGACCTCCCGAACTTGAGGACTAAAAAAGAGCCAGTACCTAAAACAAAGGCAACGAGGTGTGTTCTCGTCGCCCTCTGATGTTTAAGTCAAACAGGGAATTTATATGAGAACATATATTGAAATTGTATGTAAAAGCATACCTGAATAATGAATTTGGGTCATGTATTTATAGAGATATGTAGTGTACTCCTAGTAGGATTGAATTAGTTGGATGTTCTTATCAAATAGATTCCTACTTGAGAAGAGTATTTTATTTGTAATATAATTGCATGACCAATGATGCTATTGTTGACATAGAATTCTTGTGGATGTAGGAGTCCTGGGTTGAGGTGTTTGAATTATATTAGAGTTCGTAGAAGGTAAGACTTCTTATGGGCTTGACAAAAGGGGGTTTCGGTATGAAAGGAATAGCTCGAAGACTCGTGAACCCCATTTATCAAAAAGGATGCTCGAGGACTTATGCTCGAGAACACCACCGACTAGATCACAATGATGCAGTCGCCACTTCTCGGGTGTATTACCCAGAGGACTATATGCCCCAATATGTGATGAGCAAGACCCTGTGAGTCCTTAGGAAAATCACCTCGGGAGGTTGTCAAAAGTGACTACATCAGTTAGTATTACTATTATGAATATCATGTCAACCAACATGTCTGACTCTTTTGGAGTGTGCTTTATGGGCAAAAATTATTCTGCATGGGAATTTCAATTTCGATTATTTGTTATGGGAAAAGAGTTATGGGGACACATTGATGGAACCGACCCAACTCCCACTGAAGCCACCAAATAGACTCAATGGGTAGTGAAAGATGCTAGAGTTATGACATGGATTTTAGGATCAAATGATCTTATGATTTTCCTAAATTTGTGACCGTATAAGACTACCAAAGATATGTGGGAGTACTTAAAAAAGGTTTACAATCAAGACCACACAGCCAGACGATTTCAATTAGAGTATGAAATTGCAAATTACACTCAGGGCAATCTGACCATCCAAGATTACTTTTCTGGGTTTCAGAACCTATGGGATGAATTTACTGACATTATTTATGCTAAGGTACTAGCCGAATCACAAGCTGTTGTTCAGGCTGTTCATGAACAGGGCAAGTGAGATCAATTTATGATGAAATTACGACCTGAATTTGAGGTAATTCGCTCAAATTTGATGAATCGTGATCCACCTCCTTATTTGGATGTCTGCTTTGGGGAGTTACTTCGTGAAGAGCAGCGTCTCACAATGCAAGCCATTTTTCGGCAACATCACATGACTTCTAATGCTATCGCTTACTCAACTCATGGGAAAAACAAAGGAGGGGACATGTGAAAAATCCAATGCTTCAACTGTAAGGATTATGGACATATTGCTACTCAATGTACCAAGAAGTTTTGCAATTATTATAAGAAATCAGGACATATTATCAAAGACTGCCGTACTTGACCTCGAAATCGTCAGACAAATGCATATCAAGTTACCATCAACACACCGGCTCCTGAGGCATCCTCTGTTGCTGCACAATCTGTTGTTACTCATGAAATAGTGCAACAAATGATTGTATCAGTCTTTTCTGCTTTGGGACTTCAAGGTAAGCATAGTACTTCATTTTGATCTTGGTTAGTTAATTCTGGTGCCTCAAATCATATGACTAGTTCCTCATATGGTCTTTGTGATATTCGCCCACATCAAGGTTCATCTCATATTCAAGTAGCTAATGGGAGTCATTTAGCTATTGATGCTACCAGTAACATTAATTCTGTTTTTCGAGATGTTTTGATATCTCTTGGTTTGTCTACAAGTCTTATTTCAGTTGATCAATTAGTTGATAACAATTGTGATGTCCATTTTTGTCGTAATGGTTGTGTTGTGCAAGATCAAGTATCAGTAAAGATACTCGCGAAGGGGCCTAAAGTTGGAAGATTGTTTCCAGTACATTTTTCTATTCCTAGTTACTTATCTTTGGCTTGTATAAGCGTCAATAATAAAAGTGAAGTCTGGCACAAACTTTTGGGTCATCCGAACTCCACTATTATGTCTTATTTATTGAAATTTGGTTTGTTGGGCAATAAAATTGATTCTTCTCATAATCAGTGCTTTGATTGTTCCACATGCAAATTGGGAAAAAGTAAAATTCTTCCTTTTCCTTCTCATGGTAGTCGTGCTGAAAATAACTTTAACATTGTGCATAGCAATGTTTGGGGTATTACGCATGTAACCTCTCATGCTCAATACAAATATTTTGTGACTTTTATTGATGATTATAGTAGATACACATGGATCTACTTTCTCCGCTTTAAATTTGAGGTACTTTCAGTTTTCACAACTTTTGTGACATATGTTGAGACCCAATTTTCTACCAATATAAAAAAATTTCAATCTGATTCTGGTGGGGAATACATGTCTCGTGAATTTCATGATTTCTTAAACTATAAAGGTTTTGTATCTCAATGATCATGCCATTATACTCCTCAACAAAATGGGGTAGCGGAACGAAAGAATAGTCATCTTTTGGATGTTGTTCGTACATTATTACTTGATTCCTATGTGCCCTCAAAATTTTGGGTTGAAGCATTGTCTGCTGCAGTTTATTTAGTCAATAGATTGCCTTCCCAAATGTTGCAATTTGACTCTCCATATTCTCGACTTCATCATCAACATCCTACTTATCATGATTTAAACACATTTGGGTGTATATATTTTGTTCATTTGCCTCCCAATGAATGATACAAACTTTCTGCTCAATCTGTTAAATGCGCTTTCATGGGGTATAGTGTCTCGTACAAAAGCTATGTTTGCTATGATCCATGTTCTAACAGATTTCGTATTTCTCGTCATGTCATTTTCTTTGAGCATCAACCTTTCTTTTCCACTCATGTTGAGCCTTTGCCTGAAATTAATATTCTTCCATGTTTTTAAGACTTGTCTTCTCATCCTAAAAGATTCAAGCTTGGACTAGTGTATAAGAGACGTCGACCACATAGGTCTCTTCCTGAGCTCAACCCCACATTTGATCCTATTCAGCCTCCCTCTGAGCCTGACTTGGCATCTGAGACCACTGTGTCCCTTGACTCGAGTCCACGGCGATCTACTCGAGTTTCTTGACCTCTTGAGATTTATGGTTCATTTGATTCATTTGCCACTATATTATCATCTTTTCATGTACCTTCTAGTTATTATGAGGCTGCTCAATATGAATGCTGGCAAAATGCTATGGCTGAAGAACTTTGGGCACTATAAGAAAATCACACTTGGGACATTATTCCTTGCCCACCTAGTGTCCAAGCTATTGGATGTAAATGGGTCTATTCTATTAAGCTACGTTCTGATAGAACTCTAGATCGTTATAAAGCTCGCCTAGTTGCTCTCAAAAATAGGCAGGAGTATGGGGTGGATTATGATGAGACATTTGCTCCAGTGGCAAAGATGACCACGGTGCGCACTACTCTTGCTATTGCTGCCTCTCAAGGGTGGCCTCTTCACTAGATAGACATCAAAATGCTTTTTTTCATGGTGATCTCAAAGAAGATATTTTTATGGTACCTTCTCCAGGGCTCATTTCCTCTCCTTCACAAGTATGTAAATTGAAGAAGTCTCTTTATGAGTTAAAACAAGCTCCTCGAGCATGATTTGAGAAATTTCGATCTACTTTGCTACAACTTTCCTTTATCCAGAGCCAATATGACTCATCTCTATTTCTTTGCAAGACACCTGCTGGTATTGTTCTTTTACTTATATATGTGGATGACATTGTCATTACTGGTATGGATTGTGAGTTGATCACTCGACTCAAGTAGCATCTACAAGCTTCCTTTTATATGAAGGATCTTGGTCCACTTACATATTTTTTGGGGTTGGAAGTACATACTGATTCCACAGGTATATTCTTAAATCAACACAAATATATTCAAGATTTGATTACTTTTGTTGGTCTTCAGGATTCTTCTTCTGTCGATACTCCTCTTGAGCTAAATGTGAAATATCGTCGTGAAGAGGGTGATCTTCT